TTGCGAGGAGTTATCCGTTTCGATGGTGCAAGAATCGGTGAACAGTGCGTCCAAAAGATATGAAGTTTCCAAGTCCAGCTTCCATGTTTTAAGTAGTGATATTTCAGCTAGGGTTGCCAAGTGAGAGAATTGAGTGAATTGTCTCACTAATTCACTTATCTTTTATCTTATCTTTTAGCATTGTGGCGAAGAAATAGATGGAAAACGACTTATCAAATCCAACTTTATATCAAATTGACAGGCCTTGGAAGAATTTTACTTCCACCACCGGAAACAATTCGACTTCTTTAATTTGTCAATTTGTTTAAAAAGGTTTAGCACTTCCACGGGCCTCAGTGCTAATCCACAAGAAGCATCTACTGTTTACAATTCAGACATCATAAAATCTACCTTGGTCATTGAGACTTCGCCAAACTCGGAAAATTTCGAGAAATGAATTTCTGAAGTCGTTGATGCATTGAATATGTTTTATAAGCCGTACCCTCCTGTTTCCAAGTGATTTGTTAGTCTCCAAATCTGTCTGCACAATTGTATCAGCCAATACAGGAAGAAGCTCACATCCCCGACTTTTGGTTATCTTGGGAAACATTAATAAAAGGCACGAGAAAATGAAAAAAGTGGAGATGATGCCCCTTTTCAGCAACCTAGATGATGTCGGAGCGCTTAAAAATTTGGAAATTTCGTACGTGATGACAGCGTACGGAGATGAAATAACTCACCTTAGCAAAGATCATTGGAATGGTTTCTTTTTGCCGCGTGTACCGACGTGCAACTCTGTAGACTGTCTCGGGAACAAACTCGAGCACCAGATTCAAATATACGTCTTCCTTCTGCAGAGATAAGGAAGTATGTGTAATGGTATGCTTCAGAAGGGTGTGTACAAAACAGTGCCACATAAATAAATAAAAAAACCATACAAAAAAGTATGTATGTGTGTACACAAATGTCTTCGAAGGTCTTCTTCAAGTTATGTCTCACGATATTCCTAGTTTACTTACTACGCCCTCAGGAATTACAAAGGACTAAATATTAAATAGAAAGAATTGAGGAACTTCAAAGCCATAGATACATTATAGTGCGATTTGTTACCCTAATGAAGCGAATCACTGAAAGTGGTATCCAGTAGCCATAAATCTAGGAACTTGTATAGTCTACCATGGAAAAAGTATAAAAATAGTAACAACAAATGTCTAGATCCCTACTGAAAAGCGTATGCATGTAGGGTTTATTTCACTGCTTTACAGTGAATGGAGTAAAATTAATGCACTCACTCGTTCACCCATGACGTAGAAAAAGTACTTGAGTTTCACAATATTTTGGTGATCTAGAGAGCGCATGATTTGCAGCTCGCGGTTCTACAAAAAAAAGATTTCAAAAATAGCGTTACAAGTAAGTTGATTTAGAATGTAAAGAATCGCCAGAAGTGAGGTCAAGTACATAACTTTAGACGAATAGATCGCATATCCAGAAAAAATTATGGAGCACACACATTAGTCGCGTCAAAATTTTGGCGAATGTCAAACGTAATCACAAATTACTGGCCTAATGAAGAAATTCCCGCCTTTAGGCAAAACGAGAGCGAGGCAAAAGCACGGAATTTAAAGTAATTTCTGAAAAAATCATTTCTTCCCACCAATTTTTGATACTAGGCGCACAATGCAGTTACTGGAAATAGGAGTAGCAAGCAATAACTGGTAGTTTTAAAACGAATAATCTTTACAAAGCTCAAGTCTACTCTAAACACAGGGGATGGGAAAGAAAAAAAGATTAACGGCTTTAACAGCGATTACGACAGTTTCGAAAAACACTCCTTATTCTTGCTAAAGAAAGGAACAGCAGGCAATCTTCTTGGACGCGAGTAGCCGACTTCACCACGGCAGAGGACAAACGATCCAACTACCGTTGTGGCGCCACTTACCTTAATGAGCAAGTTTGCGTGTGGGTACAGCCGTGTGTGGATTTAAACGACAGAATTAACAGCTGAAAACCTGGTAGCATATGCTTAGGATGGGGGAGCAAAAAGAAAAGGAAAAAAACACAAAAGTGCGACTATTCAAACAGCTGCCCACTGACCACACCATTGGATAAAGCAACCAGTGGAGCCTTGAAAGCGAAATAGACTATTTACCATTAACATTTCATATCCACTGAATAAATTTATTACTCAGGGAAACTAACCTTGAACCGCCGATCCTGAAGGACCTTTTTGACAGCAACAATTTCATTGGTGTCACACAGACAGGCTTGATATACCACGCCGAATGAGCCATTCCCAATAACTTTGATGTCTGTATAGGATATTTCTTGTGTTTTGTCGCCTCGGCCCAAAGTCGCAACGACAGATACAACTTTACCGTCTTTGGCTACATATGGAGAGCAAAATTAAATGCTAGAGACCGATTAAAACTGCAAAACAACAAAAGAATTAGAAATAAAATGAAAGATACAACAGAATGCGAAACATGTTACAAATCTACACAATGTTTTCCCATAAAGGGGCAATGATAAAGGATTACATGTGATTTAAAATATATGAGGAAATTCTGTCAACAAAGTATTGACAGTAGGCGACTTAAAATAAGGAAATCAGCAATTTCTACAGAGCAGAAAGAGAAGTATAGGAGACACTAGGATTGAGAAGAAAGTTGAAGACAAACAATTTCCAGGATCCGTAAGTAAATACGGCAAAGGGTGTCATTTGACTGCTATGCAACTCTGGTTATACAAAAGCACTAATAAGCAAGACAACGTTAGGCATAGCTTCCACAAGATACCCTCTTAGAAATAGACTTAAGTATGGAGTCAGGTAATTCACTCGAAGATTAATTGCATCCGCGATTAAGAAGAGATTATGGGCAGTTGAAACCAATCCATAGGGATTTCTAAGAGCTTTCCCCAATGCCACACAATGATAATCGATTTACATAAAACCATTAAGATGAGTACTAACAATAAAAGCCTGGAGAAAAAAACACAAGTAAGCATTCCTACTTAAAATGTAGATAAATTTAAAGCATTACTTCCAGAAACCAAGGTAGGTATTAAAGCAAAGGCTATAAAACAAGCACGTAAGTCTCAAAGCCAGGAGAAAACTTTTAAAACAGTGACTAGAGTGTTAATTTCCAGTAAATTAATACCAATACTTTCTACATGCTTTAAAACATCAATATCAACACCAAAAATAGGTGTACGTGATCGAGTTTAGGTAGGGCACACAGCACTGCAGAAAACAATAACTAGGAGGACAATAAAAACTGGACCATTCAAAGTAAACCACGTAACATAGTAAATTTAGTGCAATGTTTGTGTGATACAGTAAAATAATGGAAAAGAAGTCATACCAGAGTGCAAAAAAGTACGTACGATAGCTCAGAGCGGAAATACGGTCGCATATACAAGGGCGGAAAACGCGAAAATGACTCACCACTCATCCTGAGATCATATTATCCGGTAACGTACTACCCGCCTATTAAGGATTGGCAGTTATAGAAATAGTTAGTGAATTAAAAATGAACCTAAAGATAATAAAGTCCGGACAAATTAATTTAAAGCAGACATTCTACTTCAAAATAACTGCAGTGGGAACATTTCAAATCCATGAACTTCGTTAGGGTCTGCGAGTTCATAAAAAGTCACTCTAAAAGCATCCAGCCTCTCGATAGTTTTCCGTAATAATCTACCCTGTGTTTAAAATAAGCGTGCGTATTTGTAAATTTTTTATTGGATGCACATGCCCAATTATCGTTCAAGTTGTGTCTGTTACACATTTATTTGCAGTGCTTTAAAAAGTTATTATATTTGTTGTTGCTGTTTGAGTAAAATAAAAATTTAAGATCACAACTACTTAAATCTAGCTTTATAGTGCTTTTTTATGCCCTTACATAGGCTAATATTTGTGTTGTTTGAGTGAATCGTTTAAATTAACGACATCAGCTGTACCCAATTGCATCAGCGTTTGGACATTTGCGAACTTTTTGATTCGCCCATTTTCTGTTAGGTGTTGTTGCACTTTTCAGGCGCCTTCTGATTATTTCACTCCTGTATTTATTTACAAATCTCGATAAGCCTCGAAATTGCACTTTGCTGCTGTCTCACTTCTGCCATGCAGATCTTATTTCAACTACGCAATCATATCGTTGTATAGTCTGTGGCGTGAATCTTTTATTGTCCAGATCTCTATGAGAATGTTTTTCATAGTACTGTATTGTGTGTTTTGTTATTGATTCTCTGAAATTCAAAGAAAGACAGTGGAATTGTTGTCAGGACATTGCTGGTATAGAACACCATTTTATGGGAAACAAATCTCGTCGAATCGATCACATATATTGTATTTGCAGCACCCCCTTTATTTTCAGTGTAATCTTATACCCAACTCCTTGTGATTTTATTTCAATGGGAGCACAGTAGCTGTAGCTCGTACTAGTTTTTGATAAGAGTTGGCTTTGATTTTAATTTTGTATTTGGTTGTTGGCTTCCATTACATGATAAAACACGCGCAATTAACTTAGGTCTTCTACTTTATTTTGACGTCACTTGCTGCAAGGTGGATTTACTCCGAAATTTGTCAAGTGAAACAGCTTTTTGGCTAAGTTTTGACTTCGTTTACACGTTGGTACTTTGGTACAGTGCCATATTTGCGTTGCCCAATTAGAATTATTTGGATAATTATTTATAGTAATTTGTTAAATTTGGACACCGAGCTTACAGTCGTTGTGATCCTTTTTGACACTATTTTTACCGTGGGAGAACTCAATTAACACTAGCTCTGTTGGTGATTCGTAGTTTTTCTGGGGAATTATGGTGTAATGGAGCCTCCTTTACACAACGCGATGTTTCATTCTCCTTAACCTTTTACCAGTCTTGAAAAGTCGATCGGGGTGCTCATAGGGGTAATTTTTTGGAAACCGAAATGTGCTTAGTCTTCTTGATTCTTAGTTTCAATGTAGTAGCAGTGAATTTAACCCTTCCGAAAATCAATTTCAGGCAGTGCCGTTTCACGAATGCCCTTCCTGAGTCCCGACTGGAGGTGTCCGGGCGATAAATGGATAAAGTCTTCAGAAGATGGAAACACATGGGAGAACGCCAAGGACTGGAGGGAAAAGGTCTTCGCCAATATGAATGACGCCGCTTTGAAAAGGTTACCCTTTCATTCCTTCTTATTCCTTCCATTTTAGGATTTACCGTCAATCCCTTACAGACGATCGACTTAGCACCGAGGATTTTGAGTCAATGCTGGCTAACATCGTTTGTTTCCAGCCGCACATTCGGATCAACTTGTACAGTACCCGGGAGATCGCAACTGTTAGTACGATAACCGACGCTCTACTGAAGTTGGATATGAAATCGGCTATAAGGGACGTACGACGTTTTAATTACGTTTGCAAGGTAATGCTCTCCACTTTCTCCACCGTTTCTTAGTTGGTGCGCCGCTTGTTGGCTGATAGGTTACACACTATGACAGGTCGATCCCAGCTCTACATAATTGAGTTGTTGAAAGTCATAATGCATCAAGGTAAGAGGTTTTTTCTGAATTCCTTACATTTTCTAGTGCTGGGAAGTTGCAACCAGACCCTTGTCTTTCGACAATTGCTTGACACATTGCGGACAAACCTAGAGCGCCACGAGTATGATCACATTGGGAGTTCGCAGTTGTGGGCCAATCATTGGGAATCTCTCACTAAGATGAAGGCAACTCTGGATGATTTCGACATAAAACAGGTTTGTTTATTTAATCTAAGCGTCTTCGTTTTAAACACCTTTTCTGTGTGGCTTTGCGGCACTTAATTAAGGCTTATGACGCTTTTTAAAAAAATACTGCAAATAGCTATTTTTTACCACTCTGTAATATTTCAGTTCTTGGTTAAGCATATTTTTTCAATTCTTAAATAATCTGTCGAAAAAATATCTTTTTTAAAACCAAACAGAAATTACAGTCGAAGAAAACCCAAAAAACAGTCTTTTGTGTTTTCAGATGGAAGTGTATCCTTAAATTGGTATAATGATGCAACTTCGGTCAAAAAGTTAGAGACTTACTGGGTTTATTCTATTACTTTTTAGAGGAAATAATTGCTTATATTCTGTGCAAATGTTTTGGCTTGCTGGACATGAATGGGGACCCACAACTTATGTAAAAACTTCATTTGGGAATTACTGCCACTAAGATTGCACTAGCCTGAGGTAGGTGATAAATACGTCAGGCCAAAATGTGACTCACATTAAATATCCCAGGTAGGACACGTCAGAATGACGTTAATTTTTGTATCAAACACATGCCGCTAGAGTTTCTCACGCTGCTAACCTTCGTCGGACAAACACTTCCTCGATCAACATTTCGTTTTATCCGTCCTATTGCCTCGAAGCTACTATTCAAAATGACATCAGTTCTTGCGCGAATCACTAATATCCCCATTAAGACGCTTTCTGTGAATGAATAGTTTAATTCATCAAGATATCACTGACGTCACATGTCCCAAGTAAGCAAACAGTAGTAGGTATTCAGGTTGGGAAGCGCCAATTCTGGGAATTAATCTAAAAAAAGGTTTCGTCCTCAATTGTCTTGTTTCCTTCTCATCACCCCTTCCGACTAATGACAACCAGGATAAAGTGGTAGCGAGATACCGCCCTTTAAAAATATGCAATATTTAAAGAAATCGGGTATTAGTTATTTGATGACCATTTGGGTCGTACAGTGCTGCACTAGAGTCTGTAACAATTGCTGGATACTGCGGCGAATTTGGATGAACAAAAGTCTTTCCTACCATCGAGATAGTAAAATCTCGGGAGACTGAATAGGTCTATGTAGTTACAGGCCAATTTAAAATGCGCAGGGTTTTCTACAACAAGTAAGCTTCGTGTTGTAAAAATGCCATTTGAAATGTTATACATAGAGCAGGATAATCCTCTGTTGAAATCGCAATTTGTGTTGTAGACCCTGACAAATAATGCCGATAAGCACAGCCCCCACAGGGGTTGCATTCGCGGTGCTGACTCGCGGAGCGAGAGTGGACAGGCGCGACTGGAGAATCTGCCTCTCGAGTGCCTGAAGCTCATCGTGGCGAACGTGAATAGCCCAGAAGACCTGGAGTCGGCCTCGGTGGCCTCGCCCACTCTGGCGCTGGTGGTGAATGACGAGGTATTCTGGCGCCGACTGGCCACTCGCAGTTTCACGCCCAACCAAATCATGTCAGTGCAATTCGGTCGAGCTAGCTGGAAAGCGGTGCCTGCGGATAATGGGGCGCGAGACTGCAACTGGCGCCGTGCCTACATCCGTCTCCTTCGTCGATTCGGTGAGCAGCAGGTCCACTCCGCCTGTCTCGGCATCTGCGAAAATTGCTCCTGCCTCTATTGGATGGTGGGTTACTTCTTCGACTTTTATTTGTCTTTCCTTTTCAATTTGAGTGGCTTGGACTTTCCGATCTGCTTGTGTGCTGTGTGAATGCTTGCTTCATATCCGAGATTTATGAATCGGAAGTATCTGTCGTATCCAGTCCTGTTTCCCTTTAGACTGATATCATGGTAAGTACACTTTCCTTTTCATTCTGTTCGACTGTGTGTGGATGTATGTGGCCAACAGTATTTTGATCTTTTCAATCTATTTAAATCATTCGTGTGTTTAGCAAAAACGTGACCGTTCTGTAAACAAAGTTTAGCGGTGGAACCTTCAATCTTGGAAGTAAACTGAACATCTATCAAATTTAACTACAGATTCCTTAATTTTATTTGTTGTCATAGCGATGTTTCTGGTTTCCTGTCCTTAACAGCATCCTACCTGTTCAGTGATTACAAATACTACAAACCCCGGATTCATACATCGGTGGCAAACCGAGTATTTATAAAAAAATTTGTGGAGAAAAAAAGTGTGTATATAACTCACATTTTCTAAACTTTCAGTGGTAAGAACCATGTTGAAATCCACCTCTAAATAATTTCCATTGAGTTATAGAAAACAATTGCGATTGGGATGAGCATAGTTTCATTTCACCACCCCTCTTTTGATTGTCATCGTTGACTCTCCTCAAGTTCGCCACTCTGTTTGGGTTGTCATGAGGTAGTGGAGTGGATGGTGATCGCCTGCAAGACGGGAGCAAGGTTAATCGCAATGAGGCGTTTTCAATTTCACCTCCATTCCTCCAACACAGTGGTGGGAATCGCGTGACACTAGAGAAGTCCGCAGAGTTAATTATGCAATTACGTCAATGTTATTTTGTTACTTGTGATCAAAGCAATGATAACCGCCCTATGATGATTTTCAGCTCTTGGGTCACCCGTGCTACCGACAGGAGAAGCCGCCGAGGGTGCGACTGCTCTCCCCGGAGAACTTTATCGCGCTCTTTGCCAAATGACCTTCCTTTCAAACCCCATCTCACCTCCATTGCTCTCCTCCTCCACTTTTCTATATGATCGTTTTTCGTCATCATTCTCTTTTCACATACTCACGAATGTATTGCATGGACATTTACTTTATTTTGTTGTTTTTATTTATTATTTCTACCTGTCTTTTTTGGCGCCACATTAAAACATTGCGCTCATTTTTACGTTGCACTTCTTTTCAGCAAATGGAGGTTTTGGCGGATGATGCGAGGTATCTGGCCGACATTACCGCCCTGATACGTCCAGACCAGACACCATTAATCAAGTTACTATTTTGGGTGAAGCCTTGGGAACCACGGATACGCGTATCGACAACATACTTCGGGCACTGTCTCGGTACAGTGACACTTCGCTTAACCATGCTAAGATGTCTAGATTTCGTAGACGTCCCGAAGGCATCTACCCAGAGCACGGCCTCGGTGGCCATTTCTGTGAGTATTCAGCGCGCAGAACATTCCATCCTAGATAACCGGCAAGAGCCGCACCTTTCTGTAGGAATGGTGGGCACAATCATTCAAGAGGGTTTACAGCTGCAAAAAAGCTAGTATATGCTAAGCACCAAGGCAACTCTCCAATCTTGATCAACGTGAAAATGTTGAATTCTGAGCTGATTTGAAGTAACCTTTTGGAGTTAGAAGGATAAGATGTACATGCGACACAGTATAGATCCCCACATTGTTACTGCTTTGAAGTGAAGAAGGATGTTGATGTTTTTCGTCGTACCACCAAACCTGTCTACTGTCGACGCATTCCAGTTAGTGGCCGGGGGATGAGATGAATGAGAAGTGTAAGGTCAAGGGGCTGTGTGCAAAAGGATTAACCGCAGTTTCCACTCCTTGATACCTTTTATAGCCATTTAGTCTCCGTTTGGCGTGAATACGCAGTGTAGAAGATTATAATTGAAAATAGTGATCTTCACGGCATTCTCCTTACACTCGGTGCAGTTGTAGGATTGGGTCATTCAAGGTTCGATAGAAAAATCGGAAGCGAGGATATCTGTTAAAAATTAAATGTTGCTTCAGTTTGGGGATGGTATCAAGCCGTTATGTCTGAAGGCAGGATTTTCCACAGCATAAGCAGGTCCACTAGTTATTTTTGTGACTTGGGAAATATGCAATCGTTTAGCCCGTTTGCTGATTGGAGGCTGGTCGCCCACCTAGTTTGTGCAGCAAGGTCAGTGCACGCGTCACGTGATTGGTGGGCAAATTCCTGCCTTTCTGCGTCGCCTACACAAGTACGCACATTACTGTGTCTGGATCTTCCAAAATCACAGCGATTAGCGTTTTGTTTGTTTACTGTTTTTTTTGGATTCAAATGCCCTCAGTCAGACACCATTTACCTGCGGCCATGATTACCACTGGTGGTGTAAATAAAAAATTGTTTGTGCTTTATAAGTCACTGTGCATGACCTTAATAAAATCCAATTTTCCTTGTACATTTAAATATTCGAGCAAGCAGACCTTCCGAGGTCACGGTGCTCCGCTCCTAGTTAAGGTCTCTAAACCTTTTTGTACTCAACAATAAACGCCCCTTATTTCTAATATAGCTTGTTGTGTTTGCTGGATTAACTTGGGCGCTGCATTAGTGGCAGCAGTATTTGAACCAAATTCCGACAAATGAAAATCATCTTATCGTCGCTAAGGGTGGCAACACTCCTGAAGACGCGTAACAGAAGAGTCGCCGGGATTGTGTCACTTTTTTGGCGACTTCTTCAGATGATATAATTAGCCTGATAAAAGTGATCCAAAACCCCAGTTAATCATAGCTAAAAGTACATCACGCACCCTTGTCACCAATGTGTTAAGGCGAAAGTTGGCCATCCCAACGCCGATGTTTGCTGTAGTGGCCCTTTCGTGGGGGGTATGTGCGACCCCAGGAAACGCTCCTGTGTTGATGTCCTAGAAACCTTCATTTTCTTGGCTACTTCTGGGGCACGCTAGAACACCACGCTCTAGATCAGGCCGCCTCGATCGGCTGATATCACGTGCAAATACACTTTAAGCATGCTAATAATTACTGTAAGGTTAGAGTCAATCAAATGCTATAAATATGCCAGACTGAAACCACTCCCTATCTTTAGCATTCTCCACCGATTAGGTGGGTGTCTACTAGGAATTAGCCATACTCCCTTGCTCTATCATACCCATATCGAAGCCTTTCTCTAGCTGGGAGAGTCCGACAGGATCGAGGCTCGCGCGCAAGAACACCAATTAATAGCATTCATTTAATGCACCAGTTCTCCTTATTTTTTACTAGATAAAATTTAAAGCACTTTAAAGCCAAATATTTAATTGTCTATCTCCGACGAGAGGACTTAGAGACCCTCTTACTGCTGTATGTTTGTGACACACGACTTAATGGAACCAGTTAGTGTGAACGAATAAAGGGCACCTGTGAAATTCTCGTGACTTGGACGTTTAGAGCTGAGAAAGCTGAGGTGGAGGCAGCAGTTGTGACAACTGCAACAAAAGTGTTGAAGTGTCAATATCAAAAAAACCTCTTGAGCAATCCCAGATGCTAAATCCCTCATGTTCCACCTTCCATTGTTACTTTTGCCCTGGTTAGAATGGTTTAGCTTTGGTCATCAGTACTCGCTTCTTGCTGAAAATGTACACGGACGGATGAAAATACATTCATGTTTAGTACGTGATGGCATTTGCAGGACAAAAACCTACAGAGCAATTCCAGGGCTTTGCCATTTGCTGCGCAACTACTGAGATTGGTTCACTAAGGGTCATGTGGTAAAAAGGTCAAATGAAAGTCTGCTTTAATTCAGATCACACCAGGAATAAGGTGCCATGGAATCTGGACTTGGAATTAGTTAACAGACAATCCGATGGAGTGGGGAGACCTGAGTGTGATTTACATACTGGACTGAACGATGATGCCGATTTTGGAGCGATTTTTTTCCAATTCACACGTTTTACCACCCTGAGATGCACAACAAATAGAGTGACGGGCTAATCATGGGGAGTACCACGTTTTTTTTTCCAATGGGTGGAGAAATTTTTAGACGAAATGTCACTAATTTTTTCTCTAAACTTAGTTAACACCAAAATTGTGATTATAAAGAACAATCATCAAAATCCGATTAACTGAACCCATAGTGGATCATATGTCAACTCCTCGTTTAAATTTCAGCTTTGATATAATAAAGCGAACGAAGTTAATAAGTGTGAATCCCCTCCCTGCCCTCGCCCAAATCCTCGCCAATTTTTCCCATCTGAGTTTACAAATTACCCATGTGGTTAAACGGAAATGGAGCAGATTCGAATGGCAAAACAAAACGAGAATGACTGATTGGATTATTACAATAACATCGAAACATTTGGATTGTAAAAATGCCACCTGGGTAGCTGCAATGCCCTTCGCTTTGGTCACGCGGACACTTGGGGCCCCGCCTTGGTACTTCTGCTGGACGGCATGGCACCAGACCATCCCAGTAGTAGCTATTCCTTCCTTGCGACGACAGTATATATTCTGCCCTAATATTATGTCTTCCCTCATCTTCAAGAATGCCCCGACCAGCTAATCTGATCCTAAAAGGCAACTACCCCGATTTCCGTTACCCAATTCTAGACCTTAACATGACGGAATGAGGGCATATACTGTGGGCTGGAAAATGATGTCCACCTTCGGCAACCATCCCAGTCCCGTGTTCTGCGAAAATGCCCTTCATAACCGAAACATCACTACCCAAGAACCCTTTGGAAAAGTAAATTACGTAGCTGTCTACGGTGCTTGTGTGAGGATGCCTTTCCACTGGCCGGATATTTATAGCTAGGCAGTACTGAAGTGGAAACAAAGAGAAGAGGAAAAATAGACGTGAACCCTAACCCCTACGAAACTCTTTTAAATCCTGTCTATTACTAAATAACACTACTATTAGATTAGTGTTCCCACCACTGCCAATGGCCAGCACACTTTCCGTCTCCTAATTTTAGTTATCAAACAGGGAAAACTCCAGTTCCAGCAGAATTGTCAGGAGGGATCAGTGAAGCTGCAATCAAGTACCTCCTCAGTTGCATGGAAATTCGATGACGGTGTGGTTGGTTCGTGTAGTGGCTCCTTACAGCACCAACTGCATTGTGATGACCGACGTGGAAGGTTGACCAAGGGGAGCGCCGGAGACGAAGCTCAAAAGGGGATGTGGGGGGGGGAGAGCTATACAATGCTTTGACCATTTGTTTAACACTCCGTTTTGGTAAGGGGCATTAATGCTCCTCCTTTTTGCTTTCGCTGCGTGGCACGGCCTCCAGGTCGTCTCAACGGAGGTCTCGGAGGTAACAGTAGAGCATTGTAATTAGACAAGTACGACATCGTAATCTCATAATAGACGAAAGGTGGTTACTTTCAAGTCGACAGGATTAAGAAATCGTAACTGTTTTAAATCATTCTTAAAAGTCCCTATCAAGTACTAAATATTAGCCACCTTATAGGGGAAAGTTAAATGCCACACTGGTTTACGGTACCGTCGCAATGACATATTCGTTGTTAAGGTGATGGTGGCAAAGATAAGGGCCTAGCAAATGTAAGTTCCCTTGCAGTCCCTCCTCCAAATTACTAAATCATTGTTGATGGAATAAATATTGAAAGTAGTTCACGCCCCAACTTACAACAGTGGTGTCACAAAACAAGTGGGCAAAAGTTAATGTAAGTCCCGCATTGAATAATTCATTATTTAGGAGGACAAAATGGATGCGATGTCGCAATGAATAGCACAGCGCTGAAGGATGGAAGAGATTCAACAAATTGGAAGCATAAACAGCGCGATGGATTACACACACAAGGGGAGATATAACACTCAACTGACATCCAAAAAGCCTCATTCGCAAAAGTACTGCAACACAAGTATACGAGGAAAGCAGTATGTGATAAATGCACACAGTTAAGGACGGTACGTTTAATGTTTGTAGTATTTTGGAGAAAGTAATGGCGAATGAGATTAAGCGGTAGTGACTGGGGGGAAAAGGAAAAAGCGATGCCAGAAACAAGAAACAAGACTTCTATAATGTCAAAACACGGAATCACATACTTCAAATCATGTGATGCAACTAGTAAACATAGGCGGGGATTTTCTGATGATCCTCTTACACATCTTGGTCATCGCATGAGGTGGGAACATACTGTTAAAGTTAACCTGGCACGAAATAGTTACTTTTTCTAAGGATAGGTGCATCGCTACAAGGTCTTCCTGAAGGCGAAAGGAGACATAATCCTCTGGCAGAATATGTATTGCCAACGTCCAGAAGGGCTCGGCAGCTACTGGCGCGGCCCGGAGGCCAGGCCACCGGGTCGAGGTACAGTGGCGGAGTTTAAAGTGGACTGTTACCAGAACTAAAAGTTAAACAAACAATTAAACCATTACATAGTCACCCTCCGCCTTGGAGCGGCGACCAATCTCATCGACCATCTCAACGTGATCGGTTCTTTCAAAACAAAAACACCCACGAACCAATTGTACCAGTCACCGAATTTGCGTATCGCTCAGACGATGTCTGACCGCAGCGTCACCGAGTTCCATTGCAATTCTACCCGCTCTGGAATTCCTACACTATGATAGTTTCGTCAGTACAAGGTTTTGCTGCCATTCCTACCTCCCAATTTGTTCCCAATTCAGCGCTCCCCAGCTACATATCTAACTGGTCTCTGTTCGCCTGCTCTTCCTCGGTGAACGGATTAGAGGAGGCACATTAACAGTGTCGCTATTGATGAAGGGATCTGGAAGAGAAGTTAATTAAAGTAGAATGAATGACTTTTTGACCTTGGCATATTAGTAGCTTTTCGTAGAAAAATTCGTCCAAAAGTAGCCCCTCGATTTTTAATTCTACCTTCTTTTTATTCCAGTCCAAATGAAAAATTCATCCAATTTTACAGGAGTTACCGCAACCTAATAGAAAACCCGTTCCCGTTCTGTTCAAGCTCAGCGTTTATCACTATTTAGAACTCAAAAATTAGTGCAGTTGCTGAAAATTAACATTCTCAAACTAGCACTTTCATTATGCCTTCGAATTTCAGCCACCCACAGTAGATGCATTCTTTCCGTAACCTTTAATTATGCTGTCCAGTCGACGAAAGCAAAACCTTTTTATTTCTTCTCAATGGATTCATTTACGACTGCCACCATTGTAGCGCCCGAGCTTTCCATCAAGATAGGACAAAGAAATGAGGGAACAGCTTTACTACCGTTGTGCATAAATACAGGGAGACAAATAGCACAGATGACAAGCACGCTACCATGGGGTTGGAGCCATGAGGACTCAAGGAGGCCTTGTGGTCATCTAAGCAAGTACTACACCGCCACTATTTTTAAGGCTCACAAATGCGGCTTCGCAAAGGCGATGAATTTTTAAAGGCTAGATATGAATAAGACAGCATTGAAAACTACTTTTTCGTAAATAAAATTAATTCCTCCTAATAACAAGTTAGATGCATTGGCAACTAAGATGGACTCCGATAAAGCTCCCCAGCATGTCTAGAGGCACTAATCGATACACGTGACCTCCAGCGGTTTGTGCGGTTAAGGTCAGAGGGGGCTAACTGGAAGGATGGTGCTGTGCGATGCAAGCCAAGTGAAAGGCCCAAAGTTCCCTATCTACCTGCCGCAGAACAAGTTGGAGGAGTTGGAGGCGACAGCGAATGCACTAATTATCTGCGGCAAGGGCATTTTGGCCACTGACGAGACGCCGGCCACTTTGGGCGTCCGCTTCTCTTCCATCAACCTTGAGAACACCCCTGAGAACCGCCGAAGGTATAGAGAACTACTCTATGCCACCGACTGCTCCATTAAGAAGTACATCTCTGGCATCATTATGCATCCTGAGTCTCTGAATGAACAGGCCTCTGATGGAAAACCCATGATTGAGTTGATTACCGTAAGCTAAACTGAAGTAGCTAAAATTATTCTCTGATGTTAAGTTCGTCCCTTAGGAAGATGACTAAATTCAGACACTGCTCTTTGGCACTTTTATCGTGTCATAGATTTAGTGAATAAGAATAGGAGGTAGGTTGGCGACTTAAATACCTCAATTTTATGCTACACAGCAGTTTACTCTAGAAAAAGACTAGGACTGGTTTGAAATCAAATGATCCAAATGACCAAGCTCTTATACGTTTTAACGAAAATAAATTCTACTCTCTTTACGTTCTCAAATTATCAAGGGTAGAGATTAGCCTGCTACTGATTCACCAGACAAGGTTTGTTAATAGCTTTATGTTGGTAAAAAGAATAAAAGCGTTTAATTTCAAGGAAATAGTGGTCTAAGTTGCAATTAGAATGAACCAATTTTGACATCTCAAAATGCTGCTTGACATTTGCGAATAAAATAGTTTTACTGGTAAGGATCACAATGGGATGCGAATAGTGAATTACAATCCCACACCATTATTGGTAGCTTCATCTGCACGAATACGAGGTCTGAGAATCCTGAAGCCCTCCAGTCTCGTCCATTTTATGATGTTGTCTAAAGTCCATGTTGACTATGAAGGGATAAATTATTACCCACTGATCGCAAATCGTTATGATAAAGGTTTAGGCTATATGTAGTGGGTCCCAAGGCTAATATAGCCGATTACAGCCATATGATGACCGACGACCTCGCAGAGGCCAATCTCACCAAACCGATGAGTGCTTCGATTTGAACGAAGAACATCTTGCGTGCTACCAGCACTTCTCACATAAGATGACTGCATGAGTTACACCTCCCTGTCAAATCAACATGCTGTACAATGTAATTAAACTCAGTTTTATTCCATTGCCTCATACTTCTGACTTCCACTAGCAGATGAAAATTATTTAATGCAAAATGCACAGGCCGTAGATTCATCCCTTTGCCGAATTTCGTCTATAGAGGTCCTACTCATCTACAATTAAGTAGCAACCTATTTTCATTTTTGTGTCGTTCACAGAATCGGCATATCATTCCGGGCATCAAGGTGAACAGGGAGTTTGTCGTGCTCCCGGGCACTTTTGATGAGTGTACCACGGAGGGCCTAGACGAGCTAGCTCGGCGCTGTGAGGAGTACCGTCGGCGAGGCTGTCGGTTTGCTAAATGGCGCTGTGTCTTCAAGATCTCCGCACCCACACCCTCCCACCTCGCTCTCATTGAAATCGCCAATGTGCTCGCCCGCTACGCCGCGATCAGCCAAGTGGTCAGTCGGTTGATGTGCTTACAGTTAAACCTTAATGTATGCTGAAAGTCAGTCAAAGATCTCAGTCTCCGTTAATACATCGTAAAAGCACGTATAAGTCTGTAACGCTACCCTTCAAAACAACTTAAGCAAATGGTCTTGGGAGTTCTGATTAGGCAAGTCTTGAGTCAAATCTCGAAACTTAAACTTTAAAAAGAACTACGACACCTCGGTGACGGTCTGAACATCCCGCAAAATATCGTTTAAACAGTGGAGTAAGTTTGGCAAATTTGTACTCTTCTAAAACCGCACTTCTCTCACAGGCCGGCTTGGTACCGTTGATTGAGCCAGAGGTGGTTACCGAGGGCAACCACAACATAAAAACTGCACAAAGGGCATACCAAGAGGTTCTCTCCTACGTATTCAAAGCTCTTCAGGACCACCATATTTTCCTGGAGGGCCTTCTCATAGAGACAAACTTTGTTCGCGCCGGACATACCAGCTGCTGCCAGTCTAGCGTCGAGGACAATGCAAAAACTACCCTCGAGGTCCTTCAACGCACAGTGCCGCCAGCGGTCCCTGGTTAGTGCACCCACCACGCACATTTGAACTACGGACAGGTCTTGTGCCGCTTTCTAGCCCATTCATCAAAACTATCTTTCCTTCAGGTATCCTATTCCTATCAGGCGGTCTCTCTGAGAATGACGCGACGCTAAACCTGAACGCAATTAACACGATAGAGAGCAAGAGACCATGGGCTCTGACGTTTAGCTTTGGAAGGGCCATGCACAACGCAGTTCTCACTGCTTGGAAGGGCGTGGACGACAACATCCCCAACGCTCAGTGCGTCCTCATGCGGCTGGCGAGGGTAAGGATCACAAATTAAGCTCTTAACTTGCAATAAGTAACCATGTGCAAAGGTGACGACGAAACCACAATCCCATCAGAATATGGACATAACCTAAGACCGCCAAAGTACAGACCCAAGTATTGAGAAGTGTCCGTAGGAAGACCCCAAATGAGAAACTTACGACAGGCTAAACGCAGAACAATTTTCCACTTTTAGCATAACTCTGAAGCATCCATGGGTCGCTACCGGGGCATGAAGAAATTCCCCACCGGAGACAGATCATTTTACGTTGCCAACTACGCCTATTAACTCATTTACGCTCACCATAAATTTAAACAGCCAAGACAATCCACCCGCCATAAGTTCCAACGAATAAACTCCGTCAAACACAACTCATCAGATGTGACCATTTGATGGGCGAGGTAAAAGTAAAAATTTTTCATTTCAGCAAAACAGCCAAGCTTCAATGGGGTTCTACAAAGTCCCGAGGCGAGCCGAACCAGAAAAATTCTCCGAAAAAATCGCGCGGTGCGCTTACTAGGAAAACCCAAAACCATTTCACAAGAACGGGGCTAATCATTTCTAGGGTACTGAGACCCAAAAGGCAAAATAAACAACTCTTTGGTCTTTTCTTGACCATGGTTGAATATCCCACATTGGAGAAGCCATTTAAAATCACATTATCAAAGCAATGAACCTAAAGATAACTCCAGCGAGTACCTGCAAGAACCTCACTGAATGACTGGATGAAATCACCAATTTCAGCCACGCGGTAACAAGTAAATAGGTCCAAAATGGCACTTTATTACAGAAAATTATTTCTTCTTAGATACACCGACGGTGCGACCGCGACGACCGGTAGTCTTGGTGTGCTGACCACGCACACGGAGACTGTAACAAAAATGCGAAAAAGGTTCTTAGAAGTTGATTTGACTCGAGACCAAACGCACGGCGAAATAGATAGCTAGGACCTCGTCTTGCCATTTAAGTCAAGTACAGGCTAAACGTACCCCCAGTAGTGTCGCAAACCGCGATGAGCACGGATCTTCTTTAAGCGCTCCAAATCCTCACGAAGCTTACTGTCCAAACCCTGAGCGAGGAGCTGTGTGTGCTTGCCATCCTCGATATCCTTTTGCCTGTTGAGGAACCAATCAGGAATCTTATACTGGCGAGGATTGGCCATCACAGTTACGATCTTTTCAATTTCATCCTCGGTCAGTTCACCAGCTCGCTTGCGGACATCGACGTCGGCCTTTTTGCATACAACTGTGGCATAACGACGACCGACACCCTTAATCGCGGTAAGAGCGTAGGCGATTTTTCTTTGGCCATCAATGTTGGTGTTCATTACACGGAGAATGTGCTGGAACTTCTCGGGAAGCATTAAAGCCTTAAAAAGAAACCAAACTAGAAGATCGAATTCGAGCAAACCATCGTTAATCGTGATTCCTCTCGAGAGTGGTTCGCGGCCGAAGCTATTGATTCAAACAAACGAACCTGGCGATTCCATATTGCAAATTTAAACACGGTTTCTTTGGCAACCCAGCTGTCTAATATGATTTTCAATCCTCATTTTTGGTCTTTTTAAGGCGTTTTGCGCTTAAGTTTTATTTTTTGACATCGATCTCACTCAAAAGCATCATTTACTCCCGTTTTAACTTTCGATAATCATATTTTAAAATTTGATTAATTTGACTCACATTGAGAGGTTGTCACCTCTTGCTGACTAAAATTGGCAACGTAGCTAGTCCGTACACATATTGCCGGCATTCGAATGGACTGAGATGCTACTGACATGATGCAAAGTTAACACGGTGGAGCGGAATTACAACTCGTGAAGACCGAAGTAGAGTTCCCCTGTTGTCAATAACAGAGTTGAGTTGTCAAACCAATACAGTCGCATCCATGACTGCAACTCATTGAACAATGCTGTAAGCTTTATCAAGCTAATTATGTAGCGCCTCAGAACTTCCCCACAAGCATTGTTTGCACACACGCCAACTGTTCGTCGTCATACCTTCCCCATCCAACCGACAGCAGGAGTCCCCCCCCCCCCCCAAAGGGATGAATCGCCCCAATGGCACCAATCGCAGACCTATGAGAGCCGTTCTACAACCGACTAACAATGTCCATCCAGAACCACCCATCCCACTCACGACTTGTAGCCGTCTAACAGTAAAACACGGCAAATGGGCGGTGAATTAACCTCAGTATGACCGTACATAAGTCCACCACACACCCGAGCAAGCATAACAATTGAACCTGATGGAAAAAAACGCCGCAAAGTGCACATCGAATCGACTGAAAACCGCACAATAGCGCTTTTATTCGCCAAAATGTTTTATCTAACAGAGTATGCGCTATCCGAACTCATGCTCACTCCACACTCAGTAAACGCGTTCAGTACAAATCGCCAACGAAGTGCACACAACACACGAACACGCGGAGAGAAGCATAAAAAGATGGGATGTAGTAATCGGCTGATCGAGCGAGAGGAAAGGGTGTGATGGAGCATGCATCTATATACACACAATGCGACACGACCGCCGGCAAAAGCTACACATCAGCAGCAATGGAGGAGGCCTCCATCGAAGCATTTGAAGAGGTCACGGCCTCAGACTTGGTTACCACTGCCTGTGAGGGCAGTGTATGTGTCGTCTGGAATGCGGCGGGGGGGTTGACAGCGGCAGCGGTGGCAGTGGTGGCGTAGGGGAAGGCGGGAGTGAGTGATTGCGGAGGGGAGAGAGGTGTGGGAGTCGACGCAGTGCCGATGGGCACCAGCATCGGACCGAACAACTGGGACTCGGAGGAGGAGGGCAGAATGATTGTCGTGGGGTCGGTGGTGCTGGGACTGGCGGTAGCAGCGGGGGAGGTGGAGTAGCAGATCTGGATGGGACCTTGAGGCTGCAAGTGGTGGGGATCGCCAGAAAAGGCAGCAGCCGTGGTAGCAAAGGCTGCCGCTGCCGGCTGTGGCTGTGGATGGATCTGGATTTGCGGTAGAGTGGAGGTGATTGTTGTAGTTGCTGGCACAAGGGCTGTAGTCACGCCGCCGGAAATCGCTGCGGTCCCGTCCACCTAAAGTGATCACATTCACAGATTACCTCCACCGTTACTCTTTAGTTTTTTAAACCCGGAGATTCACCAAAATTAATTAAACAGCATTTTCAAAGTTATGCCCAATTTTTATAGAGGTCAAAACATCGACCTACAATAATACATCCACCTGATTGATAAAATGAAAAAAAGTGACAACAAAGAAAAAGTGACAGTGTAAAATTTTGGCACCATAATAAAATAATCGCAATTTATGAGGGAGTGTTAAGGCAGACCTTATCTAGAATCAAAAGTTCCCATTATGGTGATTTGTACACTAAGTGATTCCGTGATGTTGTTAGGGCAGACAGGAAGCTAACAAATGATTAGTTGGCGGTCTCTTAATGCAATCTAGTAGGAGAAATAAGAGCTTGAGATTAACCTGTCATTGTTTCCATAAAATACAAACTTACCAAACATTACAACAGCTATAAGATTAACGATGGATACAACTACTTGTACAGGTTCTCGTGCATGGGAATTTGCCAAAAAAGTTGCCTACCGTACTGATATAGATGGTTCCATTCGCATCAAAAATGGATGGCGGGGGTTGAGAACAAAAGTCTTCGGAGACGGTGAGACCTGCAGCAGCTGAAGCAACAGCAGGATTTGAAGTGGCAGTGGCCCTGGTGGCCTCCGTGCTGCCCGGCGATGCTACAGCGACACCAGACGTTGAAAGGGGTGTTGAACTCGTTAGGCCTACCCCCTCCCCTCCCCCAGCATCGCGGGACGTCTCCACTGATGAGCTCGTCGATGCCTGAAGTTCACCGTCTTGAGAGAGGAGAGACTCGCTTGCTAAAGTAGACAAAATGGATTAGAGCAGTGCGCCCACGTGCTCCGATGAGGCCTATTGCACGGTTCCAGCCTCACGTTTTCAGTTTCAACTCCAATGCCAATGTAGCGTTGACCGACAGGTCAACAAATCATCATTCATTCTTTTCAAATTTGTGAAAATTTTTGCAAGACAAATAGGCATCTCGATAATTGGTTCCACGTTTATAGGTTGAGAAACTAGGACGATTAGGAATTAGCACCAAGGTTTATGAAAAAAAGCGTAATGGGGAGAAAAATTAGGATAGTTACTAACTGTGAGAAAAACCACTTGAAATAGAGAAATAATTGGAACATCTAAAATTGCGCATCAGAAGGAAAATACGACGGTACAACTATGCGAACTATAATTAAGGCTAGTGCAAAAAAAGTTCTAGAAGAAACAGAAGGGTGGTGACTAGGTACCGAGTAGGGAAAGGAAACAATCTGCTTTCATCCCTGAGACTTACATTCAAAACAAAACAAGAGAGTGAATTCCTTTTCTGCGAAGTAATGAGGACAACAGAAAAGTGATGAGAAAGCCCTGAAACGGACTTACATTCAGGATGGAGGGCTGATTCGCCAGAGCAAACACCGCTACTCTCCTCGGTTCCAACGCTTCCTCCTGCATCCACAGCAAGAACTTTCCTCTGGCCACCTGTTGGTGATGCTTCAGTGGCAGTGGGATTACTAAGATGCTTGACTCGAGTTCCCTGGGAGAGGGTCGCAGTAGCATCAGCGGTGGCAGGAGTAATGGGATCAGTCGTGTGATTCGCCTGTCTCCGATGGCGTCGCGAATTCGCTGAACCACTCGCCGTGCTGTCGCGAAGCGAAAAGCGGAAGGGACGGTCCTCGGAGTGAATGCGACTAAATAGGCATTAGTTTAAGGAAGGTTAAAGAATGATGATTAAACAGGCATTTGTGAATTTTCTTGTTTGCCCTCCGTAAAAAACGGCACGCTAATGCCATTTGGCCATTTAAGAGGATGAATAATGAAAATTACCCTCCTCAAAAGTGATACGCTAGTATGATTAGAAATGAATGAAAGCAAGGTTACTTTTAAGCTAATTGCCACCAAATTCAAATATTCTCTTCAAAGAAGGTCATTTAACAATTCACAGTTGGCTCCAAAAACCACGACTGATTCTTTATCAGGTAGAAAAGTTGCGTATATAAAATGACGATCTTTGAAAATCTCCCACAAAAATTACCATACAGCGTAATTACCTTCGATACACGAATCATTAGGCACTGAAAAGTACAATTTATGCCACATGACATTGGCTTGAACGAAAGGGTCCTGCTACTGTTACTTAGTGAACTGATTCATCGTATTCGGTTTCACACACGCATGCGCGCATTGAACTGGGAAGTATAGATCAGACCGAGGTGGTGTTCTCAACGAACTTCTGGGGACATTTTGCAATACGGATCACACGGTCCTAATACAACAGTCTGCGACATTTCCCGCTTCCTATAACAAATCAATTTCCGAAGAATCACGGCCTTTCAAGAAAACCAACTTAAAAGACGCGGTAATGGAATAGTATGAAGGATTGCATTTGAGGGAAAAGGAACGAGTAAATTGGGTTTTCACTCAGCTAAGAGGGGAGGAAATCGGGCAGCACCGTGCTGTATGTCGATGCAAAAGCAGAAAAGAAGTCCAAATACATTGCTGAGACGCATACCACTTCGTTTTAATTGGTATGATGGGATTTAATTCACACTTTTCAAAGCCAGAATGGATCCTTGGTATGAACGAATTTTAATGCAGAGACATTTGTGGAGAACTTTTGGATATCTGCACCTGTGTTAGCACAGATTGGTAATGAATGAGGCCATTTGAACAAAAACTCAATCACCCTTCGAAGGCACTTCTTCAAAATCGAAAAAGAGACTTACTTCTTTGAGGGGATTTTGTTGGTATTACCAAAAAAGGGGTTTCCCCAGGAAGAGATGAAAACTTGCCTATCAGTTGCTGCAACAGATGCTTAGCAATGAATGATCTTCTAAATGAGGGAAAGACAAAGAAATCCAACCGTAAGTGGATCGGAAGACCACTACGAAAGCACTTTGTTTGCACCTTCCAAAACTTGAATGAACGCTTTAAAGAATTGAGATAGTGGAAAGGAGTTGCCAAATAACTTTCATCTATATTTCTCTTTGTACTAGTAACTCATAGACTGTGCTATTCAGCAAGGGACTAAATAAGGCATCCAACTAGGCCTCAAAGCACGTTTCAAGCAATAAAAAAGGTTTACAGTTTTGCATAGACATCAGTCGAACACAAATTTCTGACTTACTTAAAAGGTCTAGAAAAGTAAAAAACGGCTGATAATAGAAATGGAACTTTTATGGAGCCGGCGATCCACATTGATGGCACAATTTGCACTGAGTTACACTCAAGTATTCCACAAAACCCAACCATTGGTGATCAGAAAGGCCTTAGAAGAAGTCGGAGACTTACATGTGAGTAGAGAGGTGGTGAGGCTGGCTGAAGCGACGATCGCAGACGTGGCAGCGGTAAGGCTTCTCACCGGTGTGCACGCGCATGTGGACGACGAGACGGGCTGCGCGAGGGAAGCCCTTGGAGCACACCGTACACACGTAGGGTCGCTCCCCCGTGTGCCGCTTCACGTGTTCGTTGTAGACAGCAGGCTGAGAAAAGGTCTTTGTGCACACCGAGCACCTGTACGGACGCTCACCTAAACAGGTGAAGATAAACGTTTAATTCTTCTACACCTAACGAAACCCCCCTAGTCCTTCGGAATAAAGAAGGGTTAGAGGCAAAAAGTAGTAGAAAGATATTAGATTCACTAGCATATTTCACTACGCCGGCTTTGTCAATCACTTAATCCGTCTGAACTCAGACAACTTTGACGGATAGAACCCAAGGGTACATGACTTCCGTTTCTGATTTGGATTGACACAATAACACACTACTCTATGCCGATCGAGCCAGGAGGATGACCATGGATTCGATCTCCTCAGCCTCTTGAATGAGCATAAGGCACTTCCAGATCCTTAAGTCTTAAAACGTCGCCTGAGATGATTCAGATGCCAAATATATGAATTCGATGTAGAATTCATTTAAGCAGAACACTAATGAGAAAACCAATTTTTACATGATGAATTACCGTGTAAAAATGATAGATAGCTACCCATCGTGGGGTAAGTGCACACATTTTAACAAACACTCCATTTTCCGTAAACAAATTACTTGAAGTGATGAATAGATTGACTCATATCAAAATAAAAGTGGGTATCTGGTAAGTCAGCGGCAGTAAGCCACTGAGGTCTTGGCTCCAGTGCAACGCACCAAAAAACTGCAGCTGACCCAAAAGGTGATCACAAGGTTAAGAAACTACATTATGAACGTGACCTCTTCAGCATTCCGCTACAAAATAAACAAAGACTATATCCGTTTCAAACGGCTGATAATCGGCTGTGCCAGCAATCAAAATCCCAAAATTGTAAGAAAACAACACATCCTGGGAAATTGAATAATGAGTAACCTGTGAATAAATAAGAGTACTTATGAGAAGATAGTCAGATTCATGTGTTTGGATGAGATTTGCTTGTTTTGTAGCATTGGGTTAGCTACTTCGAGGGTGAAACGCCTGAATAATGCAGTTCTGAAAAAACTTTCTTTTATGACAGATGGATATTTGACCATCGTCAACTACTTAGACATTGTCGCACAAGTACGTGCCAGCACAACTACACATATGACACGTGATTACCTGTAAACTCAACGGAACGTTGGATAAACCGCTGTGAAATAGCCTCAAGTGCATTAAGGTTAAGGTTGTATTAAACAGCTTTCAACAATTCGGCGAGTGACCATGGTGGCTATGTTCATTTACATATTCAAAATCGTGTAGATTTGAATGCGTAGAGATAAAAAGCGACTACACAGACGGTGCATAACTGACTTTTGCCGTAAAGGACTAATCCACGGATCAGCGAAATAAGTCATCAATTTTGGCCAGAAGTCAGACGTACATATGCTGTGATGTAAGATAATTAGTTGCAACTAACCAGTATGGATGCGTTTATGGCGATTCATATTAGGCCAGTCATTGAAGAGGCGACCACAGAAGCAGCACTGATAGGGCTTCTCCCCCGTGTGAATCCGCTTGTGCTTCTCCAAGTAGCGCAACACCCTAAACTCCTTGCCGCAATGCATGCACTGATAGGGGCCGCTGCCAGCAGTCCCACCACCACTACCACTACCGCTATCACCCTCATTCCCCGAGGTTGCCTTCATTACCACCACAGCTGCCGGTGTCGCTGCCACTACAGCTGTCGTCGTGGCGGAGGTAGCAGCGATAGGAGCAGCGGAGATGGGGACAACGATGTTATCAGTGGACGTTGTTGTGGAGGCGGGTGGTGAGGAGGGCAGGGGCTCAGTGGGAGCTGCAGCGGCTGTGGCAGAGAGGAAATTGAGTGGGGTGTTGGCAGAAGCACCGAAATCCGCGGCTACGGTGGTGGTGGTGGTGGAAGGAGCGCCGAAGATGGCGGGAGGTTCATCGACACCCACTCGAGCCAAACATGCCACCGGGTCCGGTTTCATATCCACGCATTCGAGGCCAGCAGCAGTCTGAGGTGAGGGAGAGAGTAGATTAGCTGCGGCTCCTTGTGGGAGGAATAGTGTCTGCTTAACTCACAAGAATGTGGCCATTGGGAGCGCAAGCGGAATTAGAGGAAACGGCACCAGCGGTCGTGGTTATGAGCGGAGGACAGGGATCGCACGAGCCGTCAGGTTTTGAGGACGTCGGCGGTGGTTGTAAGGCAGAGGGATCAGAGGGCCGAGGGGTGGTCTGCAGAGGCATGATGACTGGTTGTGCGGTGGAGACGGGAGCAATGGGAGTGACTTGAGATGGTGGTGGCCCTAGCGTGCCTACCACAGCACCAGTTGTAGTGCCTCCATGGGGACTGGTTATCGTCACCAGTGTTGCTGCCCGTTGACTCACAGCTGAACGGGACAGAATTTCGTCCGTCAACCTATGCCGACAAACGTCAGATGCCACCGAAGGCAGAAGTTCACCACAGAACCGGAGGGTGGTAGGGACAAACTTAGTCCGTCCTACGGACACACGCTGAACTGATAGGCGTGGACGCGCACATGCGTACGCACGCACGCAATACCAACGCTGAAGTGAATCAATAGACGCACAAGTCCGTGGCCAATCCTCCCGCGAAGGGCAGACACGCGCGTGCCTGTCCGCGCTGGGAAAAGGCCAGACAGGCAAAAGATGAGGAGAATTAACGGGCGAGGGCACTCTAGCTCTGCTCCTGCCGCCTCCTGACACGCAATTCATGGCAGCGTTTCTAGCACAGGGAACGACTGCCTCAGGGTCTCAACGGCCACACGTCCTAACTCAAAATGAGTAGTTACCTTACGGGGTGACAATAAGTTGCTCTTGAAAGGGTGCACACGACAGAAATAAAACACGTTGATGAAATTTCAAGGGCGAAATAGATGCCTTCTGCATAAATAAGCCAATCGGGAGCGCTTGGATGCTTGCCAATGGCGGAAAGCTGCTAATGAAAATGGGGTTTGAAAAACGTCTGCTTTAAACATCCACTACATGGGGAAGAATGTGGTTTCACAACTTAACATATATCACGTAAGCAAAACTTTGATAAGCTTTCGTGCAATTTCGTCAGTTAGTGTATGTGATACATGACAGAAATCGATCCTATGAGCAGGTCCTGGGTAAGGTAATATTCAAGCATCAAATGTGCCATCAAACGATACAAGGATGACAAGGTATAGATCGGGTAGGACATACATTTATGCTGATTTTCAGCAGGTAGATGTGGCAAGACTGACTGCTAGTGAGACTGACGCTTTGATATAAAGGTAGGTAGTGATGTGTTGATGTTTATTTCAATTTTCTGAAAAAGTATTCAATCATATCACAGTCGCCACACCGACTGTGAACGGTGCTAATTGTTCCGCCAGCATTTCCAGACTTCTAGTTATATTCTATTAAACTAGTGTAACCCGTAGATCCTCGCCTTTTAAAGTGCTTTCAGAGCTCTATATTGGTAGTAGCACGAAGAGACATTTCCCTTATTGACAACCTGCCGTGCTCTCGAAGGGGTAATACTTATACTTCACATCTTGACAGATAGTTTGGCCAAAACGCGAAAGTTGGTGTCCAAAAAATGCACTGGGTGCAGGGATGGAGCAAAAACGCCAAATCCTAATACTGTAAGCTTTCAGCACTTTTTCTTCACAAAATGCGAAAATAATAAGTTTAAAAGGGGTAAGGTATGGAGTCAGGGGACCCAAATTGTCCGTCTGTCAGGAAGCAACGAAATTTCCACCAGAAAAATGATCAACAAACAAAATTCTGAAGTTGCGGAAAGTTAAGGTGTAACTTGAATACGATAGGCTGACGCTAAGAGGAAGAACCAGTGGAAAGGGTGGTAGTGGCTGGGACGGTGAAAAAACTAAAAACTCAGCCGTATAATTTATTTAAATTGAATGAGTTTGGTTTTGTGCAAGCGCTTTTGCAAAATATAAGTGACTATAGGACATCACTCAGACTTCAACAGTGCATTCAAGTGGGGTCTACTAACCATATTCATTAGTCTGATAAGCCAATAAGATGAGTTTTTAACTTTAGAAGCTGAAACATATTTCCTGCGGTGGAATTAAGCATACTTTAAACTTTTACCTCAGAATTGGTTTCAACAAGTTTAACTTACTAATGTGTAGGTTAAAACAGGATGATGCTCAAAACAGGAGCAAAAATATGCACAGTTTCAACTAAATTAACATTATAATACTACACTGCCCCACGGTGTTCGGCAAATAACACCACAAATTACAAACACTGCAAGCTATAGCATACGAGGTAAACGATTGCAAATAGGTTACGGACGCGAAGAAAAATGAGGAAACCAAAACTCTAGGAAAATGCTAGACCCATATCAATTTACGCATTATATCAAGAAAACGTATACTAATTTTGAAGTTAAAAAGTTACAGGTAGCGGAAACATGCACTACTACGTTTGCTAGATCTGTATGTTCACGTGGACGTAAATCTTAGGCATTTTTATTACAGGAAGGTTGTCTAGAGTGCAAAAAATTCAAATAGTACGAGAAAAGAGACCTCTAGGTTATTAAAATGCCCGATTTAGTAAATAAGGAAATTAAATAAACTGCGCCAAACACAGATATCGATGCGCACAAAAATGATAAGCAGTGATGAGACCTACCAAACTGATTGAGTTGGGGGAAAAATGGAATCGCAGCGTAGCTAGCTGAAGTGACGGTGCGCCTGGGGAACTGCAAAAGAGTAAAAGTAGGTCATGTAAATCTAAGCATAAAAGTGATCGACCAAATTGTGCTGAGCTAAGGAGTATTTATGAGCTATTCAGTTGAATTAACAGGCAATGGTAAATTTAAAGAAACTCCGCAAAGTAAGTGAACAATAACATCGTGCATACCGCTTCTCCAGATGCCAAAAATGGATTATCAGATACAAGTTCCTCGGAAATTAAAGGAGCCCCAACGAACGACTGAGCACCTTGAACACCAAAATTCTTGGCTGGTATGGTTGTACCAACACATTGCTCTTGCCGCAATCTATTAAATAAAAATAAGCGAAATAAATCGCGCAGACCTTGATGACAGTGTGTCAGTGATGCGCTGCTGTAAAATCGAAGACTCCTTCAGCGCAGCCGTGAGCTTAGGGGTGCTCATTTTGGGAACTAGATTTGTAGCCTCTCTCAACTAGAAATTTTAATTGGGAATTATTCGCCTTACGAGGCGCTCAAAAACCGAATCCGCGTCCAGCATTGGCGCACAGAACAGGTCCTAACGATTGGTTGACCTAAAGTAGTTGAAAAAAGCTGACGACCCCAGGTTTATATAATCAAACAAAATCGAAAAAAATAATTGCCTATAGAAGAGGCAAAAATTTGCCTTACTTAAGGGCCTTGCTAGCCGTTTACAATAAAATGTCTATAAAGCTGCGGTGAGAAATAATTTAAAGACATTCACACTTGGTAGCATCATTTGTAGGCCTTTGTAGCAGTAGGAGTTTGAATTGCTCCTAGATTTTGATAAGCAGCAAATAAAAGTACCACAGATGAATTGCATTTCAAAGCATTTATGTAACCAATATTCTGCATGCTTGTGCCGTGTAAATTTCGATAAATTTGCATCAAGTTCCTGGATTTTTGTTTACAATTTGGTTGATAAATTATTTGTTCATGAAATAAGGCCTGATTATTTTTGGCCTTTGTAGTCAACCTTGTAGGCGTAAGAAACCATAACGGCATAGAAGAAGGCTAAACGTTAACGTGCACAAAGACTAGGAGGCTACAGAATGGTGGTGAACACTAAAGTATCAAGCGGTATAAAAGGATCTGTAGTCACAGAATGTTCCATCCCATTGAGCTGAAGTGAAACTGCTGCCAATCTATTACACAGTAGCCCTTTGGTTGTGTAAGGTGCAAAAATGCCGATTTTGCGGTGTTTTTAAAGAATTTGTACTAATATGTTTAGGAGAACATTAATAGCATGTAGGTGAGGTGGATAGATACATTACTAACGTACGGGAAATTCGGAAGACTACTAGAATGATCCCGAGGATATGTCTTGGCGTAAAAGTACACGCCTCGTCTAATGTAGTGGTCGCGTAGTTCAACACCCAGCTAGATAAACTCTCAAATACAATTATACTGCCCCAAGTAGGAGCTAAATCGATATTGCACCAACGGTATCACATCTAGCCGAAGTTTTCTGAAATCCTAATAAAGCACAGTAATGTGGATGAACAGTTTTAGATGTCGTACGAAAGGGCTGGGAAAACCAACACTTACGATCTTTTGACCATGCCACCAACACGGAAGTACGCCTCCAGGGACTGATTTTCGGTTTGTGTAAAACTGAAAAGCGTTTCGTTAAATAATTGTCTTTCTCTTTTGAGCGTTGTCAGCAGAGCTTCCCTTGGTCATTCTTTGGCTCTGACCTCAACGGAACTTCATCTTTGTCGGAGATAACGAATTCACATCATAGGGAGACCTAAGCTTTCCTCAGTAACACTTGCCTTAAAAATTCATGAAGAGGATGTTATGCTCTTAAACCGTCTAAAAGCAATTCATTGAGATTGACTTCAATCCATCAGAATCTGATCTTTCTCTGTAAGCAGGCAATGCACAAAACTCCCAATAGCGCATTTACCAAGTGTAGACACCGTTTTAGCACTTCTCCAGTGAGTCCCGCCAGGTTCGGTCTTCCACTGTAGGCAGCTTCATTATGTGAGGCTTAGATTAGGTAGTCAGCCGACCAAATTGGACTTCTGCGTCATATGGATTGGGCTCACTTACAATTGCCAATAATGTAGTGATCCAGGTCATCCCTAATGGCATGATAGAGTCTGCTGGCATGAAATGCATGACACGTGATGCACCGGTCTTGTATCAGTCAGCCGGTTAACTGTTAGTCTCTCTAGGTCAAAAGTCACATTTAAAGTACCCACCACGTAAATGCTATGTGAAATATGTAAACTCACCACAATGCCATAAAGTGATAGGTGATTAAACCGCCTCTTGGAACTTTCCGTATCTCGTGCTACACTAATTCATTTCTTCTAGGCATCATTATTTGATGTCAAAAGTTCGCATATTACTTTCTTTCACTTTGCTTTAAAGACTTAATATTTGCTTGGTGTTTGTAAAAACCAAGTTTCCATACGACACACCGATACGAATGAGTTCCAAGTAAGATTCTTGATATGTATACAAATTTAATAGGGCATTGTAGTGTCCCGAGACTTCCCTGAAGACGAAAAAAGGCACTACATAAGGAAACGAGGCTACTGGCGTGACCTGGAGAGCAGGCCACCTGGCGAAGGTGCAGTGGCGGCGTCCCTAATTGGCTCGTTACCAAAACCTAGAGTTAAAAAAAAATTAACATGGTGCATAGCACCTCTATTCTCTCAAGCGTCCTTCACGGTGCTCCTCGCGGCCAACCTTTTGTGTGGGCTGTCACAACGTGGTCGGTGCTGTAAAGAAAACACCCACAAACCAACCACGCCAGTTAACGGACAACGTGACAACTGACTGTCACGCCACTGATCCCTATTGGCATTTCCATTGAATGGGGCGTATTGTCCTCCCTAGAAGTTGGATTGGAGGAAGGGGAATATGCATGCCATCTCGTATGCTCATACTTAGTCGTAGGAACGCTGGTCTAAAAGCACTTACATAAGAAAGGACCGGATTTAGCACAGTTCTGTGGAGGTGGGGTTTCGCGTCCATACCTCCTCACCTCTTTATTCTCACCTCAGCGCTGCCCTGCCATATCAAACTATCGGAATTTTATGCAGCTAGTGGAGAGTTGAAGGAAATATCGCGTGCTCACCTGATTCACATCTTCCAACAGGTTCGGTAGGCAGCTCCATAACGAGCTTTTCCAGATGATTCACGACAAACGCCGATTCTGTTATTAATGACTCAACTGCTGCACACAGGACTGGGGTAGTTGCCGATGGTAGACGTCATTTTTAACCCTTCTATTCGGATTTGCCAAAGATTCGACCCACCTTCTTCTGCCAAGTTAAGGTTTATCAGTCATCAGTAGAAATCGGAACAGCTGTCCATTAGGATCAGGTTCGCTTTCCACTGCACTTAATGTACCGCCCCAAGACTTTTTTGAAGACGAAAGGAGACACAATACTTGGGCAAAAAAGGCGTTGTCGACGGATTGAAGGGCTTGGGGATTAATGGCATGACCCGGTCGCCCGGCGAAGGTACAATGGTCGAGCCTTAAGTGACCTGTTACCAAAATCGAGACTCAAGCAAATAATTTAGGTCGCACAATATTTCCAAAAGGATTTTTGGAAAGACCGATACACCCTTTTTTAGTTTTGTATATTCTTCACAAGTAGACAAATTTGTGCTGCAGTGCACCGACGGTCAAATGACCTTTAAAAAGATTTTTTCTAAAAATTGGTGCCTAAAATTACAAGGTTAATGCAAATAAATTAGTCTACATTCTATAAAATGTCTCATTATCTTAAATCTTGATTCTACTTTTATGCCGTAGAAATACCAAGAGCTTGCAGCACATTCCGCTGCAATGAGCTCCACAGATTCGAGCTAAGTGATTTATTGTTATTTATTCAAAAAAGCTGCCCACTTAGACACCCTCACCATTGTAAACTGATATTTGTTATATAAACCTTAACCACATACACATTTCATTCTCCCGAGATCACACTTCCGTTTTGAAGGTACCACTTTCCGGCCACGCTTGTAGCCTCCCATACACTCCCGACGCTAATAACGAAAAAAAAATTATGCCGACAGACCTCATCACCCGCTTGGAGATGACCTGGACCACTACACTGTTGCAATCTGTAAGAGAACCCAATCAAAGTGAAAAAGAGGTCCGATTTCGTCGGCTGGTTACCCAACCTAAAACTCACATAATGAAGCTGCCTACAGTGGAAGGCAGAACCTGACGAGACACATTGGAGAAGGGCTAAAACGGTGTCTACGCTTGGTCAATGACTTATTTGGAGTTCTATGCAGTGACTACGGAGTGAAACCAGGTTCCAATGGTTTGAAATCGACCTCCAGGATATGCTTGCTGCATATCCCCGAGGGCAACCATCTGTGCCAGCCTAGGAACATGACACCCTCATCCTAATTTTGTTTTTAGGCAAATATTAAGAGGAAAAGCGGTTGGTAAATAGCATGCGCTCACTCTAGACCGCTCTTCACCCTTCAGCACTGTCTTCCAAATCAACCCCTGTCCGATTCAGTTCGCCTTGCAGATGATGAGAGATTCGAGAATCCCGACCAGACCTACAGCACGTACTACCACTAATAAAGCAGACACCATTCTTCTCGATGATGCAAATTCATAGCATCAGCTTCGTGTAGATTTGCCTGCGTGGGCCTTTTAGTCTCCATGGTTTATAACGTACTCTTAGAGCTACAGAACAGTAATTTCCCAACGACGTTACATTAGCCTCTCAATTGATTTGTATAAGCCAGTGCATTTGTAAAAAAGGCATTAATAAGGTTTTTTTCATAAAAACAAGCACAAATTGAGCTCGCAAATGACATGCAATCCAGAGACAGTTTTAAATGAAGCCACTCGACCCGTTTGCTTAGGCAAACTATAACTTCATACTGAAAGACACGAAGAGCATGCATATGGTGAGAAGGGGTTGTCAGTACGCTAGCTTTAATTCATAAATTTGTATGAAGCAAATGTGGTTAAAATTCCTTGAGCAAAAAGTATCTAAAACCAAAAATTATTTATTCACGGAAAGGCGTGATGGAAAAGAAGCAAACGAAAAAATTTAAGTAGGGTTTCATTCTCCAGAAATACAAGTTAGAAATAAGCCGAACCCTGAGGATCGGTAGGTCTGATTGTCACCATTTGAAAAAAAATAGCTTGTAAAAACAGAGCCGTCGATTGAACGTACACATGATGGCTCAAGTCAATAGTAAATGAAGTAATCAGGCGAACTAGTTTCCATGCAAAAGGTACTGTTCTGAACGGTGGAAAGTAGAGCTATTGTGGAGGGATTCACGAAATGCCTTAACGGTTAGCCGAAGACCCTCCCAGAGCTGCACTTTTGGCTCCCAACCTAGGAGGTTCTTGGCTCTCGCTATGTCCGGTTTCCGTCGTTTTGGATCGTCCACAGCTTCCGGACACTTAACCACCTTCGAAGAGCTTTCTGAATGAAAAGATAGCAACAAAATTGAACAATGAAAAGCTTCACAGCACGACGCATTTTATCACAAAGTGATTTTGTTTAAAGAAAGGAAAAGTGCAAAAAATCTTTTATCCAAAAAATAGTAAGCCCATAAAGCTCATTTTAAGCAGAATAAAAAAGCTTGATTGGTTTAACTACATCTAGAGTTAACATAACTAGGGAAAAGTCACGTCAAAAAAAGGAGAGTAAACACACCAGTGAGATTCTTGACAATGTCAGCCAATTCCTGAATTCTAAATTCATGAGGGTTGCCCAAGTTGACGGGATCAGTGACATTTGAGTTCATGAGGCGGATCAAACCATCAACCAGATCAGACACATACATAAAAGAACGCGTGAAACTGCCATCGCCATAAAGCTGGAGGATGGAGAAGAATAAATTAGTAGAGAAGCGCATGTTCAGTAGGTTTGGTTATTGACGATGAAAGCTCACACAAATATCCTGATTGGAGAGGGCCTGCAAAATGAAGTTACTGACAACTCGACCATCGTGAAACTGCATGCGTGGACCGTAGGTATTAAAAATGCGAGCCACACGAATAGGTACACCCTCCTATGAAAAATAACATGACGTATATTAACTCTTCCCGCTTACCCTTCGGAGGTATGCATAGGCAAGAGATTCCGCGGCCCTCTTACCCTCGTCGTAGCAGGAGCGAAGACCGTTGGGGTTCACGTTCCCCCAGTAGGACTCTGACTGTGGATGCGCCATAGGATCTGTCAAAAAACAATGGATTGGTGAAGCTCATCGGAGTCATAAAGGGTGGGCTAAACAGCAAGATTACCACCGTAGACTTCGGAGGATGAGGCAAAAAGAAACGTGGCCCCGGCTCGCCGAGCTAACCCTGAATCAAAAAGTGGTTAGAATGAAAGAAAGACGTCCACTTCTAGTCAAGAGTAACATTGAAATGACAAACCAAGGAGATTAATGGATCCAAGTAGATTGGCTTTCAGCGTTTTAATCGGATTTGTCATGTAGTTTGGTGGCGAGGCTGGAGATGCCAAATGGTAGATTTCATCAGCTAAAGAACACAAAAAATATAAAATAAATAATTTAAATGGATATGTAAAGAGGCAGTAGGTTGAAGACTTTATTACGCCATCTAAACAAACCTTCTAGGTAAATTGGATTGGAAACATCGTGCTGGATGAATGCGAAATGAGGATGCCCATTCCACTGCTCAATATTTTGCCTGTCTCCAGTGAAAAAGTTATCAAGAACGGTTACGAAATGTCCCTGATGCATGAGTCTGTCGACCAAATGCGAACCCACAAATCCAGCTCCACCAGCGACCTAATAGTTGAGGCAATTTTATGCTAAAATATTTAACAAACTCACAATAATGCGCTTCTTTTTGCGTTTAATAACAATCCTAAAGTCTTCTTGATTTGATCGCGATGCTAGCTTTCTGAGACCACGCTTCCGGACCGGGTGATTACCAAAACTTGGGTCCTTGGGTTGATTAGTTGCTGCGCCATTTCTAAAGTTGTGCAACAAAGAAAATGACCACTTTTCGCTAGTATTTATGCGTCCATTCACCGATAAATCAAGCTGCCCCGGAAGTCTAAAGAATGCTGGATGTTTGACCGGTGAAAGGTTCGGCCTGAAATATTTTCGAAATATTACGAGGGCACCTTGACCTAGTAAAGAATAAAGACGGCAAACCCATGACGATTATGCCCAAAACTATTAGCTTTTGGACAAAACGCATAATTTGATTTCAGTGGGTTGGGCGTAAACGCCTCGGATATCAGCATAAACGAAATGTTGTATTGCGTTCCGAGGTTAGTGTAGCCTATTTTGTAAAGGCACCATAAGTTAGCCTTGAAAATATAGTCAGTACAAAAGAGCATTACAGATTAGCATATTTTGTCTCGATAAAAGATTCTGGTATCTACGCAGGATCCTACGTTTCTACTTTGGTTCATTACCTTTCAAAATTGGTGGTTTTGGTGTTAAGTAAGACTTATAACCATAATAGGGCTGGGTGAAATAAGAGGTAAATTTCTGTTGGTCATGGTAACGTCTTCGAAGTTGCTTGTTTTACCTGTACTTAAGATGGTTTGGTCTGTGCTTATTCCTTCTTATCTCTCACTTATAATTAGGTGAGGAAAGTACTGCTAGGTTATTAATAGGGTGGACTTGGTGGTGTATTTACAGGCAGTATTTGATTATCATGCTTTTCCTTTTATGGAAAATCCACTGCTTTCAAAACAACTCCCAAACCTAAAAAGGCTTATTTTTGTGATTTTTGCGAGCATGCTTAACACCTGTGACAATATTTTTAGAAATATTTGCAATTTACCATATCCACTTAGGTATGCTGAAAAAGCTAATGAAACATTTTTGCAGCCCCCTGATACTTGGTATGATATTTGGACAGAAAAAACGTATGGCGTACAATAGTGTGGCGCCCCGAGACTTCCCCGGGCAGAACACACATATTCGACATAGAGGGGTCAGGGCCCTGAAGGCCAGCACACTGGGCGAGGTGCGAAGGCCAAGTTAAAAGTGGCTCTTCACCAAAACCACGACTTAAACAACCCACGTATTACAGTACAGTCCAGGGCCACTGGCATAGCTTGGCTGCCAGCCCACCCGTCGATGTACATTGGCGGAGCTTCTGAGTTGTCCGTTACGTCACTGTACTATGCTTTTAATAAATATAATATGGCAGTCGCTTCACATTAATTGCTCGCTAAAGGGAGGGTAAAACACCTATATTTATCTAGAATAATATTCACAGCAAGATGCACTGGAAAGTACATAAATTATAAACTCCTAGCTTCCCCTAATAAAAAAGTTCGGCTAAAGCACCGGAGTTCTTTCTCCTGCGAACTCCATTTTATGCTTGGATTTTGAGACAAATGAGTGACAATATGAGCCAGTGATGCATTCGAAACATCCTTGAGGTTTTAAGGGACTGGTCATAGGGGAGATATGGTACATTTAATTATTCCCGAAAGCCGACCTTGGAAAAGGCTGATCAACAGCTCCGGATAGTAGGGCGGAGTGGTGGTTGTCTCAGGCGAGGCACCTACTATTTGAAAACTTCAGTAGCATATCTCCTATATTCGCTGATTTGTGCTGGTATAGACCCTGAATACTGAATGACAAGTCTCGATACACCTAACTAACACTAATTTATTCGTAATTTTAATCGCATGTATGTTAAAGTAATGCTATTCTTATCTCAAATAATCTGCATGTGTCAGAGTCCCTTTAGATTTCCGGGATTTATATAAACAGAAAAAGAGTTCTACATCACGACTCCGCGAATTTCTCCCTCAATTATATTTACAGAAATCGGCGTTTTCTCATTGCTTTGGAAGCCTTGTCTATCGCCTGCTCCGGCGATTATTTCTCCATATTCCTTAAATGTGTTTGAATTGCTGCCTTGTGTCGGAATATCTCATGGACTCAAAAAAACTGCACTTAATAAACCCTTTGTTCGAGTCACTTTGTAGCTGTGGTGGGTTCTCATTAAACCGAACATGCTATGTTCTCAAGGAGGGCCATCAGAGGTCTTATGAATACGACCAAACGTCTGTTAAAACGAGACCATGCGTCGTGTTTACCGATCGTTCAGGTGGTGGTTTCCAAGTTAGGCAGCGAAGCGGTTATTCACTTTATTTCCCTAAGAGCATCCTGACTCCATTCGATGTAAACGTGTAAGAGGTAACTTCAAGGTATGATAATAAACTACTCAACAATTTAAGGGTTCTGTAATTTAAATTGCCGTAAACTTTCCCTTTCATGAAAAACAATCTGCTAATCACTTTGCTATGCCTCTGGGCTACTAATGTTTAAGTATTCCACCTGACTTCTTTGTGAGGCTTTTACAATTTTGCGTTTACTTCAGAACCAACTGCACCTTTTCCCTTTTGACTTCCATAGTCTGTCTGGGGAATCTTTGCGCAGCCTTCACACAAGACCTACCCTATGGTAACCAGTCAATTTTAGCTTCGCCACCTAAACAACTCTTGCTTTACCGATGCGATAAAAAACCTTAGGGCAAAACCAGAAGACGTCTGGTGGAATGGAGTCAGACCTCCTAATCGGGGGTGGAGGGGAGAGAAAGTGGAAGGTAGGCCAGGGGTTCAGACGCGCGTGTCCTCGACCCCCCTCCACCTCTCCGTCTGTGTCCAGTAATCAACGTATAGGGCGGCTACGGACGAGGGGTGGTGGTAGCTGCGGCTGCCGTTGTCTCCTCCCTTCCGGCGACTACTTTGGGTCCAAGATCGCCCATCATTAAGCTACTCTCACTCACTCACCCATTCACTACTGCACTACCTCACCCGGGCACAACACACGCACAGACAGAGCCCTTTGATCGATCCCCTCGTGGCCAATCCTCACAATTGCGACAGTCTTGTTGCTATGCCGCAACCAATCAACAGATGAGTTGGTCTTGGGCAAGCGAGCATGGGCGCTTCCCTTGCAAGAGTGCACAAGGAATGAGGTGAAGACGGCGCTTTCACTCCGCCAGGGCAGAAGTCGCTGCCTGGACACACGAGGTAAGTTGGCACCACTTTTTCGCCTCAAAATACATACTTCCTCAGGCGTGATTGCATTCCACTTAGCTTTTGCATTTATACAACACAGAGAAATGGGACTGCTTCCGACCCTCCAAACTGTGTTATTTGGGGTACGAAATCAGTAGAAATTGGTGGCTGACTTTAAGTCAGTGAAGACTGTTTTTAAAACTAATGGAGACTTGGGATGACACCAGATCGGAGGCACTGATCGCAAATCCACCTAGGTTATAATCTTGCGTTTGATGTGTATTGTAAAAATAGTTAAGCCCAGAAGTAAATAACCTAAAATGAAAGAGAAGTTTGTTCGCAGCCACTGATTGGAAGAAAGATGGATAAGCAGACAGAATTGCGTTCCACCTTGAAAGCAAAAATGGTGTTGATTGTGGTCCATCCACCTAACACGACTCCTGTCCTCAAACAAGCAGGAGAACTAGGTAATTTCTACTTTTAAGAAGACATTAACTTCCAAGGGTTCACATCTTCACCATTGCGAACTCTTTTGCGTCCTGTAATGAAAAGCCATTGCTTTTGTGGAAGACTGGTGATATGTTGTAAAGCTCCCCTACCATACAGCGTATCGCAGTTTTTCCCTAAAAACATTTGGCTAATCTGCAATTTGAAGGCGCAACTTTCGGTCCAACCTCTCTCGCCTCAACTCTCACTCTGATCGCTGATTAGGCTCGCTACAAGTTCTATGCAGCGTGTCGCCAAAATTGAGCACTGCAGAGCGGCTCAAATCCTGAAACCAGTCAAGGCTTTGATTAGGTGAACGACTTATGGGTGGTAAGAAGCCAATCTTGATCGGCCTTGATGCAGAGACGAATTTCAACACTGTATCAGAATTTGAAGCATCTTCAGAGGACGCAAACTTTGGTGGTAAAAACAACAGGTACCGATGTGTTTTTTCTATTTAATACTGATTCGAGTGGGGTTGGGTGTTATTTCAATGTAAGACGTCCCTTTCAGTCATGTTGTAGTGTGATCGGCTTTCAGAGGAAACTCATCACTCGTGTTTGAAAACTCCACACTCCTCGATGAAGACCTCAAACTCCCTCGGTAGGTTGGGCACACTGCGAAGCCAAGCAAGGGCCTCCTTCAAATTCTCGTCATTTAGTCGAGAGGCTATGAGTCTGGCGTACTTGATAAAGTTCTTTTTAAAAATCAAACTTTTCCTACCCCTTTCAGACTTCCTTGCAGCGGTGACTGTATCGGTGTAGAAGAGGGAGAGTATCCATCCTCGAGACCGTCTGAAGGGTCGAAAAAGTGTCACGAAGAATTGGAGGAAGGTGTTGCGCATTGTTGTCTGCCAAAAGAAGGCTGTCCAGGAGTGCATTAGGTTGCCAATAACCTCACAATTACCAATGAGATCAAAAAGAGTGAAGAAAAATAGCAAATTTTCAAGCACATCCGATTCATAGATAGTGAGACGTCGCGACCCATAGAGAAAGTCCGTCAGGATAAATGTGATAATACCCCGGGTAATCTTGGTCACTGCCATGAAGGTCGCGTGCACGTAGACAACACGCAGGCACTCTCGGGTACGAAGAGTCCTCTCCCGTAAGCGTTTAAAACTGTCAAAAAGGAGGAATTTTGAGTCGGTAGTAAATAGTAGGCAACTGATCGTAAGACCTAGGCGGACATATATTCGACGAAGTTGGCAACAGGCAATTAGGATTACAAGAGACTGCACAATCCCATCACAAAACAGGGCTTTGTGAATCATGTGGAAGAGGATAAATGCCTGCGGCCACTCGGGGTCGGGAAGGCAGACAAGACGATTCCCAATCACCCAGACACCGCAAACAGTCGCTGTGGAGATTGCCATGAAGGCCCCAGCGAGAACACACAGCGCGTTGAGCGTGGCGAAACTCAAAGTCACGCTCCTGCGTTCGGTGTGCAGTTCAATGGAGAAGATGTGGAGGAGGCAGTGAGCCAGTAGTAAGTTAGCTCGTGAGGCCGACAGAAATGTGTTAAGGAAGGAGAAGTACTTGCAGGCCTTGTGGCTAGTCACAGCCACTTCAATTGCCCCATCATCTAGCCAGGGCAGTCCACGAACAAGCATGGCACCGAGCATGTTGTCAGTTACGAGAGAGATGAGAACAAAGGTTAGATACGCGATGCCAAAATCGCGATGAAAGCAGCTACGTGAGTTCATGCAAATAAGGACAAGGAGGTAGAAGAGATTGCAGAAGAAGGCGGAAGCTATCAAGGGAATGGATAATAGAATGGTGATGAAGACGCCACCGACTACGAATGGGGAGGAAATGTGGTCGTACATGCCGATCTCGTGAAGATAGTATCCCTTGCATTGTACTTTCTTATTCCCCGCTAATTCGTAACACTTTGACATTTGTTTTTAAAAAATTGACATTAAAATGTGGAAGAATTGATCCGGCATCAGCTGACTTCGATTCCCGCAATCAAAGTGACCTCAAAGCTGATTGGAGGTCGCACGATCTCCTGTGATTCAGTCGAGTGGAGCCAATGTAGGCAGTACTTCGTAAAGAATTAGCTATTCCTTTGAGGGAACAGAAACCATGGTAACATTTCCTGCTCTTATAAGGGATCATGCTTAAATAAAAACTTGAATTTTACATAATTTACGTTTGATGAGTGAGTAAAACACATTCCCATTGATATTCTGCCCCCATCAGTGTTGAGGACCCTTAAACTCCTGCAGTATGCATTAAGCGGTAAAGTGAGTCACAACCAATTTTGATTAGGTCAGTTGAATATCAACTTTTGAGGTCTACACTGTTCCTGTAGCCACAAAGGAACCCAGGAAAACGAAGTATTCGGGAGATTAATGTCATAAGAGTTAAGAATAATTTAACTTTTGGGAAAGACATGTTGCTGCAAGACTGCAGACATAGAGCAAAGTGAGCTTTCATGAAGAATTAATTCCCAAGGCAAGTGGGCGATGGTTCTGGTGGGTGTTCACTCCGAGTGGAGGGAGGAAAAAGGGCGTGTGCCTTTTTACGGTCACCAAGACAATCACTTGAAGGGATATTGCGTTTTGGGGACAAAAATCTTCGCAGTCATGGCAACCGGTGGGCAGGAGGACGTGCTTGGCCCAACCCAAGGCTCTATGGAACGGACCTGATGCATTTGTCTCCGTCGCCTCACTGCCTTGCACTTAGGGCGAAAAAAACTAACTCATTTTAAAGTCGTGCCTACTGTAGTGGAGTTGGTTTGCCCCGCATGGACTCGAGGTATTTATGAGGCAAACACGGTCGACCACTGCAAATCAACACTTTGACCGCCATATTTTTCGTCTTTGCGAATTATGCAGTCAGAACTGGCCCTTAAACGCAAGGTGAAAGCAGAGCTTAGCTTATATTTAATAAATCTAGTGTATTTAAAATTTCTTCGTGAACAGACTAAAAACACGAAATCTGAAGCTGAAATCACTGACGATGATCGGTATTGCTGTGATTTCAAGCCCTCTTCAACGCCAGTGTAGCCTGTTTAAAGGCAAATCGCCCATAGCCATTTTACTGTTCCATTACGACAAAAAAGTTGGAAAAATATGATTAGCCGCGGGTAAAAGCATCACTCAACATCTACTTTGCTGTTTTATACGCCATATGTGCATTGCCCCATTGACTGGCGGTGAAACCCTGACACCGGTAGCCCCTGGACTAAGGCGCGGCAAATTTTCAGTGGGACAACGAAGAATTTGTCTGATCCAACTACACTCGTTCCACTTTTTTTCTAGCACTTCGAAGAGCGTGATGTGAATACGTTTGCTAGGTCGCAAATTCTCCACCAGGAGTATCACATGTTCGTAAAGTCATGGCACCACTAGTTTAAGGTAAAGCAACTACCATGGTACCCACCTGTCTTGGATAAAACTACGATAAGCGATGTGGAAGCACTAAAAAGTACTGATGAATTGGTTGAATTGAGATGCAATAGGAGAATGATAATGACAAACATTACGTTACAATGAGGATAGGAAAAAAAAGGCATAATTCTCTGGGGAAAAGGTGGACTAGTGGATGGCCCGAATGCAGATTTGTGCACTATTACACATGGGGTGTGATGATGATTGGCAAAATCGACATGACGACCGCAAACAATATGCAGAAGTAACGATTTTACCCAGTCAACATGAAGCTGGACCAGTTAGGGTTTTATAAGTTCCAACAACTACTTTCTGCAAACTCAAAGGGCGAAGTGTTTATAAACATTCGAGGCACTGAACATTTAGGAGGAAATCTAAACGCTTTAAATATTAACTCGTACACCAGCCCCACTTCCTAGACTAAGCCCGCGGTCACAAGTATGCGTCACGTGTCCCTCAGCGTTGACCTAAATCGTGCTACACACGGTTTGGTTGAGTCTAAGGCAATAATGTATGTGTAGGATGACTGTTTCGAGAATAATGACATGCATGTGCCATGATGGAGCTATAAATGAAAATTCACATTTACAGCCAGACGTCACATGCGCGTCAGTTCGCGAGTTGTTCACTCCTATTGTCGTGTTATAGAGGCAGCTTTCTAAAACCAACACCCCATGAACGCAATCCACTAGCGGCTCTACTGCCGGTATCCGATGGTGACTAACCTCTGACCGCCACATCTATGACGAGCACCGGACAAAGTTAATTTAAATCACGTCACATTTTGCCATTGGAAGAGAACGAGCCATGCAACTGGCAGCAGCTAATCGACACTCATCCACCTGAGTAGAAAGCAAACCTCCTTCACCAACTGATTGCGAATCGCACCGAAATTTGCTCAAACCGCCGAATGAGCAACCTAACTCCCGCCCCACTTATCACTTCGCCCTCAAAGATTACGCATCTGCGATCTGCACCTAGAGGCGGGCTTAAATTCACACATCTGCCCATCTACTTTGTACAAAATGCGTAGGCACGCGGACAAAGGAGAACAACTCCACAGGGATGACGCACGAAAGCCCCCTCTCCGACCAAATCACTCACACAAGCCAAGCCGCAGCTAGGCCGAACCATTTAACCTCCGTGACCATAACCCAAACCGTTTAGCTGATAGCAACGAAACAAGTCCACAACTAAGAGAAATATAAACACTAAATACACTCAAATATTCACGACTGGTGTGCTGAGCGCCTTGATAGCTGAGAGTTAGACGACCAAATTGGGCGCTTTTACTTTATTAAATAATTATAATGAGTAAAATTGAAAAAATTCTTTTTGCAACAATGGAAAAAAAGGGAAACCATAAAAGGCAACCTTAAAGTTACCCTCTAAGAGATCAACAAGGAAGGAGCCTTTAGAGGAAATAAGTTATATGATTCGCAATAGCATTGGTGGAAGTTCATCGAGTAATAGACCTTCACAAGAGTGGACACCATCTAAAATGATATGTAAAAGGTTTCAGCACTTAGCAAAACCACTTGGTAGAAGCCTATTCTAGCAGAGTAAACCCAACTCCTCAAATAAAAAGGCATACCATTATGAGAAACTGATGCTCCTCTAGGACGCCACACCTGTGAGAGCGCACTGACATCTTCAAATAAATCCTCCACATAACCATCCGTAATAAGTGCATCCGAATAATCTACTGCGTCAACATGCAACCAAAAATTACCGTCCTCTGAAGGAGGCAGATACGTTTCCATCTCACAATCGTGGGGAGAGTAATCAATGCCGTTTTCTTTGGGTTCTCCTGTATACACTTCCGGCATGATTGCATTTATATCAACAACATTGAGACCTTTCTTTTTGTTCGAGGCACCAACTTTACTGGAACGCGTGAGCTGGGTGTGGTACGCGCTATTCTCGTTGTTGGTCAGGGACAGCATGCTCGAACTTTAAAAATACCAGCAAACTGATGAGCGCTCAACGCATCACTGCTTAGGTTATCGAGGCATTAAAACTAATTTAGTGGTAGTTAGCAGGAAGGTTATGCAAATGCAATACATAATAATTTGCAACAAATCAGTAGCTGCTAAATATTGCTTTCTACTCGATTTATGGAAAAATTTAATTAGCCAGTTAAAGCAGCTGCACTTAAGCATTATGAATTTCGTTTGTTTACTTGAATCTTGCTT